GTCAGTCTGAATAAGATGAAGGGGATAAATTAGTTTCCTGAAGGGTTTTAGAATCTGTTGCTGAAAGTTGTCAGCATCTAAGTCCCTCTTTCAAAGTACCATGAATAGTAAGAGTGATGGTTTAAGGTTCTAAAAGAAGCTATTTGATGCTTGTAATAGGCTTATTCCAATCTTATTGCTTCTGAAATATCCTTGTCTAGTTCAATTATATTAACTTTGGGATGTATCTAACCTCAGATTCTTCTTTACATTAAGCTGGTCAGTAATAAATAAAACTTTCATAGGATGTAGGAAGTGTAGCAAAAAGTCTGTTTGACCTTTAGTGACAACCAAACACCATGAGAATATGCCCAGTTTTTAACTTTCATCTATACCTCCTCTGAATTGGACTTACTAAAGTTAACATATATTGACAATTCAGATTATATAAGAAGCACGATGACCTGGAAATGATGCATGTTTCATTGGCAATGAATAAATTTCGACGGTCCGACACACTTTAATTCGCGACTTATATTTGATTATCATCAGTGCCCAGTGACATATAGACAACTGATAATTTGATAGATCTAACTTGTGTTACCGCCAACTTTCAGACTATTTTGGATCAGAAATATCGAAGGAAAACTATGTGTTTGGCAGAAAGCACGAGTAGGAGGTGGATTTGGTCTACTAATTGCAGTGTTTATTCCTACTTTTTTCGCTGTTCAACTACTGTTAGCGAGAATAAAAACTTAAAAATTACCCACAAAATTATTGGAAATGCCAGTTAAAAATGGCTTAGAGTTATGAACTTTCGGGTGGCTAGGAATTTGTAAACACATGGTATTACTTTTAAAGTTGTAGCTTGCAAATCTCTGTCACTGACTGGGTTGAATTAATCGGCCTATGTTGGCATATGGGATCCTGTATGGATACCCTGATATTGCCAGCGTTGTCAATTTTGACAATAATTATGGACATTGGCTTGCAGTGGAGTCGACGACGCGCGTTTCGTTCCGATTCAAATCCGTCAGCTGTATGTCCCTACTTCCCAGTGAATGATGTTATTCATGCTAAGACTCGAACCCATGACTAAGCGCTTCAGACGCCGGAGTGCCATCCATCAGGTTACTGAGTCACAAGTGTCACTCCTAGCATAGTTGTTGCACGATGATGCTAGCTACTATCCATCATTGTTATCAAAATTGGGAACACACCAGGATTATCTAGGCATTCTCACAGGAGCTTATAAGCTAACCGTGGGTGGTCAGTTTGGTTTAATCAACGACGGGGATCTACAAGCTACAACATCAAGACCATTTTATACCCATCGTACAAGGAGTGACTATCGTGACCCACTAGCCTGATGGATAGTGGTTTCGCGCTCGCAGTGAATCATCATGGGCTAGAGTCAGTGGGAACAACATTTCTCGTTGGGAGGCACGTACACCCAGCTGACAATTGGCAAATAGGGTGGAGAACAAGTCCAGGATTCCACTGCTAGCCATTACGCACCATTAGCATGATATTACTTCCAAGAATAATACATGCTCAAGAAATGAAATGTGGACTTTCTCGATACATCTAGATTACAAGGTCACAGTTATCCTAATTTTTATCTTTTATACTCCACGTGATATATCACAATATATACATAGGTTACAGGATACGTTTTTAGGTTCATCCTACCTGTAACAAACAGGCGAAATGCATTCCTGCATGAAATGAATGGATTCGTATCATACAAACCTAACAACAGGTTTGTTTAGTCAGGCTAGATTAATCTATATACTGAAAGAGTTTTCTTGTTATTTGAGGGTTCAGTCTATTAACACTGTGCACAAAGAAATACCACCAAAAATTATTGTGTATGCAGAAACTTAAGACTTCTATCTTGTGCCTGTGTAAGAAAAAGTTTTCAATGACAAACTATTCAGAATACAGAAAACACGCTCATTTGAACACAGAATATTATGTCCCATAAAAAGTACGTTAACACACGGGATGACGTTTAGCCTCCATTCAGATGAACGATGCTCGTTTTTATAACCAGTTATTGAGTGAATGAGTTGTACTACGCAATATTTTATCCATCAGTTTCTTCTGATAGCAAATCTTTTTTTTAGTTTGGTATTTATCCCAGATGCCTGTTTACTAACGTGATCTTCAGCGTCATAAATACAGGCTGATTCTCTAACTTCTAAAAGTAACCATTTTCGAAATATGCCTGTTGAACATATAATTTATGTCTAACTTGTATTCATTTGTGGCCACCATATGGTAAATACCATGAAAAGTAAATTTAAGCTTTGCTTTTCATGGTCTATTGACTGAAATGATTTCTTAACTAAGTGAATAAGCCAACAACAGTTAGACGTCCTCTTAAAGGGGATTGGTGGTTGAATTGACCGGTAGCCATCTCAATTTTTATGAAGAAGAATCTCTGTGATCAATCCTATATATTACAAAGACAAAGGTTTAACTTGGGCAAATAAAGAAGACTATTGCAGAGAAGAAAAAACTTTCTTTTCGACGAACTCATTCTTTTTGGTGTATATGTCTGAAGGTATGATAGAAATGATAAAATATTTCAGAATAATGTGGTATGTGGTATACACTTTGTTAAGGCTGCTTTGTGAAGAAATAGTAAAGCTTTTCAGATCGCTTTCATCCATTCAACCGATGTTTTAATAGCTCTTGGAAATATTCAATAAGTTATCCTTCAAATAACTAACGCTGAGTCGTCTCTTTACAGTGCAAGGTCACACCAACCTTTAGCCTTCAATATACAGAACAGTTATTTATTTCACATTAGGGACATTTAGAGTGGAATCAAAGGCTGAATAATCGACAAAGGGTAAGATGGAAAACTGTCTTTGATTTCTTAACCAATTATTTCTATAGTAATTATAAAAACCTCTGTCTCTCAAGATCTGCAAAGTAGTACAGGACACTAAACCTTGAACTAACAGGAAATAAATTTAAACTTGTCTGTTATTAGTAAGACAGCGAAAACAAGTAGTACACTCAATCACCACTAAGAACTGAGCTCATCTTCTAGAGGGGTTGCTGGATTAATATGAGGAAACTCAAACTGGTAACTCGACAGCCACCAATTTCATATCTGTACCTAAGTGTTGACTGAATCCTAACAATCATTTTGTGATGTAGTCACCAATCTAGGAGACTTACCGTTGCGGTGCTCCTTGGTGAATGTCAGTTGGTTGGAGGTAGTCGGTGGGAAGCCTTGGACCTGGGTATCATGTTTGGTGGAGCTCATCATCAAGGTGTATCTAAAACCTAGGAGAAACTGATATTTCCTTTGAGATTCAAACCAGCTTCACTCAATTTTGTATTCAGTAGTATTACCACTTGACTATCTGGACTGCGACCGACCTCCTGTAAGAATGGGTTCTGTATACTAATTAGTCAATTAAAAGCAACCAATTTCCTAACTCTACACTACTCATTGTTGTATTCTTTTATTCTGCTGGAATGAGTAGTTGATTTGACCCCCTCAGAAATCTACTAAAATACCAATGTAACTTGAATAAGTCAGTTGCTACATCAACAGTAACTTGTACTTGCTTGTCTATCAGTGGTTTCAGTGTCACTGTAAATTTTTTGTCCCAACGGATTTCACCTTAGTGAAGGTGAACAAAATTAGCCAACTGGAAAGTTATGCTGAAAGTAAAATAAATAGAACTGATGTTGACATTAATACAATAAGTTTGCTGATCTGCTTATTAGAGCGTATAAAAGAATTCATTCATTCATCACACTGTTACTTTGTTACTACAGATAAAATGCTTAAAACTCTTATTTAAGAAACGAAATATTTTGAAGGAGATAAAATTACTATTAATGAACTAGTAATCCATTTTATACTGCGTCAGAGAAGTATTTTTTTTGAAAAGCTTCTTTATTTACTTGTCTATATCTTTCTATAAATATGTGCCAGCTATTTTGGGTCAGTAGTAACCGATAAAATGTTTTTTTATGACTGAAGAGCAGGTGATTACTTATAACTGAGATGATTCTGCTTTGAGTCTAAAGAGACCCTGAGTAGAAGTTTTAACATTTAAATCCTTATTCCCTTTAAATGTACAGTGTAGATCCCCTCAGTTTTGTGAATTTGCAATTTTAAATACGAAGCCTATTGGAGTATATTCACGAAGATCAACTGAACCACCATTGTGGCTTTGAAGAAAACTGTTTTGGACATTCAGAACAAAGTGAAAATTTCCACTATTGTAGGTAATACTAATTAAAGTGTTGAGTTACTTAGCTTAGTGGCGAACAAATAAGATTTGAAAGACTGGCTTATGTGGTTGTAAAATCAAGGTAAAAATATTGCTCCAGCCAAAAAGAAGTTCATTTGTTTGGTTGTAAACTGGATCCACTATGCGCTACTGATACTGCTACTGTCCTCCTTAGTGGATCAATAAAGCAGGGTAGTATGTTTTAAGCTCCAAAGTTCAATAGTCTATCCTCATGCATATGGGTCATAATTCCAGTGCATTCAACAAGTACCAGAAAATTGAGTCGCAGAGAAGGGATTCGAACCAATTTCTTCTTTCTATTTTCCAAGTCTAGAAATTTTTAGTGAGAATTAATGCATGCATAATGAGTTTGAAGTGATAAGCAACTAATTTGGAAAAAAACTAATACGCTTGATGTAAGAACGGAACCTGGGACCTGTGGCACACTGTAATTCTATTTCAGATTTGTTTATTTGATGCATCACATAGTGATACACTCTTGTTTACTGGGTGGTTTGTGAGCACAATTTATCAGTTGTAAATTTATCAACAGATTCACTTAATCTTTATCCAATAAAAACATCTATATCACTGTGTCATGTCGAACGAACCAATAGAAACCTTCTTTTTTATGCCCATCACTTTATTCAAAAAATAAATTTAGTAGACAGTATATTATACATATTCAGCTATCATACAACACATCAATATTGATCATTAGAGAGAGTTTTATGCTATTCTATCCCATTGATGCAGGAGGAGCGCAATATCCGTATGCTGACTTTGATAACAACCCTTATCATAATGAAGGAAGTATGAATAACAATCCTGTTGATGCTGCTGGTGGGAGATATGTAGAAGATCAGTTTACTTCATCCAATTTTAGTGATAAAAATGTTCGTCGTGCATTTATTCGTAAGGTGAGCTAGTTAATTGATTTTCCGTGAAAAATATAAAAGTAAGTTTTGAAAATCACAAAATGATGTTATATGATCGTCAGTTGTATTGATGAAAACTTTTTTCACTGAGTTCTTTCAAATTGGTCATTTCATGAATAGTATTTTGTTGGTTGATTTTTATGGGAATAAATGCTAGAGAGGTCTACTCCATGGATAAAAGCTCCCGAAAATGAATGCAGCATATATTCAGCTGCTGCTTGAGGTTCGGAAATTACTATTATTTCGTTATTTGCCTCTTGGGTTCCTAGTGAAATATAGGGATTCAGTAGCACGTCACCATCCCACTGTCTTCTCTCCAGACTTTTCAACCTGGATAAACGACTGCCCACAAGCTTTCATTTCTTCCCCACATGATTTCCTCCATGTCACTCTCCCACGCCCAACTCGTCCTTTCCCATGACGGTTCCACTACAGATCCTGGTCTGGCGCGTGATGTCCCCAATCGGCATTCTCAGTGTATGCACAGTCCAATCCATCTTCACTTCCTTCTGAATATTTGTTGGGTGGTGGGATCTTGGTTGCTTCCTTCTCAGTCAGTCAGTCAGTCAGTCAGTCAGTCAGTCAGTCAGTCAGTCAGTCAGTCAGTCAGTCAGTCAGTCAGTCAGTCGGCTAGAGTTCCTCCTAGATTATTCCTTCTGGCCATCTTATCTGATCTTCAGTATCGAGTGAACGTAGGTGTAGGTGGCAGCTGTTGATGTATGTCTGTAGTTTGTTGGAAATGATTTCCGTGATGCGCCAGGTTTCTGAGCAATACAGAGGCACTGACTTGACTGACTTGATGTTGAAAACCCGGATGTTGTTCACGCTTCATGCTGAGTGCAGTGCAATAGATCTCCACACTGATTTCAGATTAATGAAGGCCTGTCTCACACACTTTTCCCATCCTGACTTTTACGTCCTCATCTGTGCTTGTGCCTGTGACTGTGCTGCCACCTGTACTTGAAACGATGCTACCTTGTCTATATAGGTGGGTAGATGAAAGAGACTACTACCTATAGATTTCTCCTGATGATGGTGATTAGTGCTTGTTGTTGTTGTTGTTATTGGTTAGGTGTCTTCATTACCTCTGTCTTCTTTATGTTCACTTGAAGTCCCGTCTCCCTTTACTGCATCTCCACTTCTGTCAACTTGTTGCTTTTTGTCTGTAGATCTTCGAGTTTGTGCTACAAGACATTTGACACAAATCATCATCGCTGGCTAAATACAAATCTTTTAGGATCTTTTTCTCGGTCCAGTGTATGCCCATCTTCTCACTGGTCACAGTTATCTGTTGCATGATTCAGTCCAGTCGAGTACAATCAGGAAGACCATCAGTGAGTGATAGTAGGCAGCCTTGTCTTGTCTTATCTTGACTTACACCTTCCTGTCTTCACTTCGCTTCAAAGGCATCATCACTGAGCTTTGCATTGTCAATCACTTGGCATGTAGCATCATATGGCACATAGCTGGTGTTGAATGAGGTTGATCAAGGTTAGTGGCACTGAAACCGTAGTGTTGAAGTAGCTGCCTTTTAAATTACATCTCGGTTGACGCTGTTGGAGGCCTTTTCGAAATCGATGAAATTGTGTTGAAGAGTTGCCATTCTGGCATTCTATGCTGTGTTCTATGATGATAATGCGTAGCGTAGCGTTGGAATTTGGTTTCCTTCCACGTCTCTTTCAAAGAGTTCCAGTGTTCTTCCACACCGGTTTCCTCAGGGATGTTGCCCAATGTCCCACATTTTTCCCTGATGGCTGGCTGACGTGAAGATGTCCTTTGTAGTTTCGTCCTACAATTCAGTTTCTGTTCTGGGGTGTTCATCTTCAACTGTGGTTTATCACCAACTTGATTTGGAAGGTAGGTTCCTTGCACTAGATAGTGGTGTGAACCACCTGCATCTGCTCCCCTTCTTGATCAGATCTTGTGTCCAGTGGCCTGGTTGTGTCTCCACTTTCTTCACATTGGGATGAAGTCGATCTGATTTGTAGTGTAATGTGTCCTGGTTTCTGGTGAAATCAAATCCATGTCGCTGCCCTGTGAATATCCTCATGTTTGTACACATTGCTTCCAATCACCAAATCGATGAATGTGCAGAAGTCTGCAAATTGTTCTTCATTCTCATTCATTTCACCGAGTGCCTCTCGATCCATGATCGGTCCCCTTCCTGTGTTGTTTCTTCTCATCGCGCTTGCATTCTTTACAGCCTTGCTAGTTTCAAACATTGTGCAGACATTTCACGTTCACATGCTTATTTTTGCTTTCATCGATAGAGGCTAATCGGGTTTCCGAAGTCTTTCATCATCCGGTGTCATTTCGTCTCCCCGATTTCACTAAGGAATAAGTTGAGTACAGAATATGAGAATATGATCACGTAAATAGTCAGTCAGCTTGCTAAACAGCTAGCCATATCCTTGAACCAACGTGACTGGTATGTGATGCTGTTTGTACTTTTCCGTCTTCGATTGAACCGAAATGACCGTTTTCTATTGGCATTTGGGTTCCTGCGCTGATGCCTTGATATTGTCTGTATTTTTCAATCGACGATGATATAATGCAAGCAACATCACATAAAACCACATCTGTTGCACAAGATATGGTTATCGTGACTCAGTGGCTTAGTGGATATCGTTGTGGTGTTTGAAGTCATTGGTCCGTGGTAACGAATCTTAGTGGGGACAATATCGCTTACTGGGAAGAAGGTACATCCAAGTGACGAGTCCCAGGCAGGATGGAAGACGAGTCCTAGATTTCGCTGCTAGCCATTATTCATGATTAATTATAAAACCTGACTGGTGCCAAAAATTTAATCAGAATCAGACGAATAAGGCATGTCAGACAGTCAGCATCGAAGCCAAAAAAAGCATAATTTTGTGTCAGTCGAGATAGCTGGTCAAGTTAAAAGACACCAAAAAACATTCACAGAAATATAGCAGAAAATAGTGAAAAGCAACAGAGACTCACGAAAAGAGAACAATAAAGAGTGTCACAACCGCCAAACTTGATATGAAAGTAAGTTAAAGATAGCATGTGGCTGTATTGGAGTCACCGTGATCGATTCTAATCTAAATCAACTACAATCTCCAACCATTGGCATCTGCTGTCATGTGTATCCCAATGTGGAGGCTTAATATAGACCGCAACAAGAATCAGAGATTTCCTGGACTGATGCCATATCTTGGTGTGACCATTCTTAACTGTCTGCAGCCCAAACCTGCTTCAGCTAACTTTTTGTGATAAGGCAGACAGTGGCTAGACATGGATAATACATGTCGCAACCACCTGAGTCGATGAGAGTTCACAACCACATCATTTCAGATACCCCCTTTACATAAAACTCTAACTCCTGACATGCGTTAGTGACGTGTTGACATCATGACTCACGATCTTTGCTACAGAGATCTCAGAGATCTCACGCCTTCTAATGCTCTCCACTTTTATGGTCATGTTTTACAGTCATATTGCAGAATAAAGTAATAGTAGAGCATACCCAGCCCTTTACGGGCAGTCGCATATCGCGCCGATGCCATAGAAAGAGAAAGTCGGCAAAAGCTAAATGGATTTTTGTATCAGTGCAGCGACTTCGTCCGTCACTGACTCACCAATGCTGATCTGACTTCTCGAGTAAGCGAAATAGTCAACTTACTTAACTATCTGTTTCCATATCGTTTGACGAGGTACTGCTACAGACTAGTCCTGGAGAAATAATTTTCATTTAGATGGTGAGAATTTGACCCAAACATTCTTAGAAAGTAATTCAGTGCATTCAGTATCTTCACCTAACGGAACTATATCATCTCTAGGCTCTAGGTCTTTTGACAAAGTGAATTCTTTGAAAAGTGGATTAGGAAAATGAGCATATATGATAAAATTTAGTAAGAATGGAGAGAGGGAACATCCCAAACAGACTCCACTCGACGTATAAAAAATAACCTAATGCCTCGCCATTGGCTCCAAAAAGACCGTGGGTTTTAGGATATCCAGATTTCAGAAGAGTGATGTAATTTTTTGTCAGCACTTTCGGTGAGAGATACTGTCATGAGAGCTTTCGATTAGTGGAGTCGAATACCACCTTCATGTCAAGAAATAGAGCTCTTAATGGGCATCGGTAAATGTGTCTATTTCACAGAAACTGGCTCAGGGTGAACATATAGACGATGGACTCACAGCAAGATCTGAATAGAGCCTATTTTTCTATGAGTCGCTCTCCCTGAGCTTCACTTAGGTATCTAATAATTATAGAATGCAGTGCCTTCGGGACTAATTTCAGCAGACTGATTTCCCTGTGGCTATAATAGGAAAATTTCTTGCCTCTTTTGGAAGACTGGAACATTCAGAAGTTGGGACCAGTCAAATGAGACCACATTTGATTCGCATACATTCTCCAACTCCTTAGTTGGTGTGACCAATAATTCTCGAATACCGCCCTTAAGGGATATAAGGTGGAGTAATTTGAGAATGATATTCTGGAAAATTCTCCACATTCATCTATTCTCGAAAAATTTAAATGAATTTGTGAGCAGTTTATATGGAGTGTCTTCACTTGTTTTGAGAAAAAGAACTGTAGAATGAACATAATGAATGAAGTGAATCCTTTATTCAATGGTGAACTCTGTTTTATCCATGTAATCCAGCTATTGTAAAGGCCAAATTACAGAGAGAGTTAAGAAGTTTGAATCTCTTGGTAACCCCAGTCATTATTGGACTGTGAGTGATACTGAGCGAAACTTGGTGGATCTAGCCTTCTTCATGGATATGTGTTATGTATTACCTTGACGAAATATGTATTTACTTTGAAGCATGAATGGAAGTTGTTTAGTGGTGCACCTGAAGATACTGCTGCTAACATATTTTTTACGTTTTCAATTCACAAAGAGATAGTAATCAAACTAATAGTTTGGCTTTTTACCTCATTATCTTTCAGTTGCACTATGTAACTGGTTACCATCTCATATTTATACACAGTCATCATGAATGGAATGCATGATGGTCTAACTGGCTTAGTTATGGTGACACAAGTGTTAGGGATGCCTTGTAATTGACTGAAGATCCATTCTGTCATAACTTGTTTGATGGTCACCAGAAATGATATCCGGGACATGCTATTCGTGCCATCTGATGTTCGTCAGTTGGGCATTGCAGTCTCAGCGGAGAACCCCATCACTCCATGGGCGGCAGGTACATCCACCTGACTAGTTCTAAATCAGGCGTAATATGCGTCTAGGATCGCACTGTTATCCATCACTAAACAAATTATAACCTACTGGCTCTATTGTTTACTTGAAACATATTTTATTGATCCTTAATATAGAAATTCAGTTTATCATACATCGTTGTGCTCCATCGATCAGTTTGTTAAACCCACATCGTTAAAGTAAACAGCAAATGGTAGAAAAAAAGACAAGTAGGATCCAAAGTAATACATATGTACATGTATAAATAATGTACTAAGTATAAACGAATAAAGCTGAGATATGAATTAGTCCGTGCTGCCATAATGATGAAATTCTGAACTGTTAAAAATGTATTTAATTGGAAAACTTTCTTTCCACTTATTCCTAATTTTACTGATCAATGTGTAGAAAACAAGTTATTTATTGATAAGTTTTGGGGCTCTTTGGAAGTGGGTAATGCAGTGACTTCTACTTGTTTAGCCAAAACTACTTTTTAATGATTTCTAGAAAGCCAGGCACTAAACCAGTTTACTGAATGGAAAAACTCGGATAATAACTTTATACCTGTGATTTATTACAGTACAATGGTGACTTTTCACAAAAATCGGCACCATGAATACCAATAACCCGGTCTTTTGATCAGCTAGCAGCATATACATTCGGTAATAATACTAAAAGTATTAACAATGTTCAGTAAGTGAAATAAATAGTCACATGTAAACGAAAATGTGATTTGCATAGGATAATTAATAAATCTTCAGTCAAGGCGTTTTGAAGGACACTAAATAGCCAATACTTGCAAGGCTGTGGTTGTCTCCACTGTGCAGTACACATCATCTAGCACTAATGGTTGTTTGAGTAACATTATAACTATTTCTGCACAGCAGAATCATGTCCTCTTGCTCCAATTACAGTTAGCATAGCTTATATGTTTTGAGCTCGATTCTATCAAACTTTTGTTTTTTCTCTGTTTTTTAAATATTCAGGTGTACATTACGCTCAGCGTGCAGCTATTATTCACCTTGGTAATTGTTTGCATCTTTGTACTTGTGTAAGTCTCAGTATGCACTTAGCGTAATCGACCCTTTCTAGTTTACCTGTCAGAAATTGGGTGCGTAGAAATCCATGGTTCTACTACTTAGCCTAGTGAGTTTCTCCGTCTCACTGTATTTTTGTGTTTGTGTGAAAATCCTATCTTTATTAGCTGAAGATTTGTAAGGTTAATAATGCATACGATGCCATTCATCAAGTAACAGCTTCAGCTGAAGGACTAATAGATAAAAAGACTGCAGCTTGAAAACACATAGGATGAGGAGGAAACTACCGGATTTTCAGTGCAAACTGTCACCAAAAGTGAGGAGCGATAATCGTTGTTGAGGAAAGTGACAACGATTATCATATTCTCGTATACTGTTACATTCTTGTTGTAAGGCTAAAATGTCAGGTCTGGTCATTAATGAAAGAGTTTGGATATGCCTACTGTCAAAGATTGCCAGACTGTGATATGATTTTTATTTCGTCAAACTAGAAATAGAATCTCCTTTCTTCCCTTCACGCAATAATCATACACTCTATGTAACACTCATTTTTCTTCTTCATCACATATTTTTGTTCCATGTAGTGCAATATTTTTTGTAACCTACCTGGTACTCGGTTGTATTGTGAGCGTACGCAGAAAAGTCCCTGGCAATTACATATGTTTAACTGTATTTGTAAGTCACATTTCCTCTTTATGCTGTCATTTTACTTTACATTTAGTTGAAACAATATAAACTACAAACTTTTCATATTGCCTGTAACCATCTAACGTCAGTCAAAGTGTACCAGAATGGCAAGTCTTCTAGCTTAGCCATTACTATGCAAAGCGAACATTTAAATTTAGTTAACACTTAGAATTAGCTACCGTGAAATTCTTTACTCTCCAGTTACCACTCCATATATCTTACAAGAAGTCAATCACTGTTTGAATAACCTAATGTTAATGTTTGTGACTGCAGCATTGACGAACATTTAAATATTGCATAAGTTCGTACTGTCACATTTCAAGACAATACAGAGCAGTAAAGCACGACGGCAGTAGCAAATCTAATAAACAGGAATAAAAATCACACTTCAATAACGATAAGTTCCATAGATTTTGAGAAGTTCGTGACTCATCTTTTAATGATTTACTGTCGGTTTTTGATGATGAGCATACATATCATGTCTGTGTCTCATTACAATGAAGATTGACCGACCTTAATCCAGATTCAGTACTGTATAAGTGATGTCTTGTAAGCTTCCACACATTTCACACTAACGAACCTGATTGGATAAGATTAACCTTCCGAACCAAAAGTGTAATCTACAACCAATGAAACAATTATGTGTACACAATTCTGTAATTTGAGAATTTCGGTGATACATACATTTCCGCCTGAAGTGTTCAATGATTACCTGCACCACTTAGAACATAAGCGGAGGTGGACAAAAAGACTACAAAGTTCTGAAGAATAAATCTGTTTTCGAAAAAAACCTGTGTGTATGGGTTTAAAACTCTGTCGAATATTGGTAAAAATGGTTAACACTGAATGCAATATTTTTGAAACCATTGGTTATTGTTAGATAGTGACTAGCGGTGGAATCTGGGATGCATGTTTCGTTCTATTTGAGACCCTCCACCTGCATGTACCTACCTTCCAACGAGTGGTTTTGCTCCTACTAGGGTTAGAACCAAGAACTAGTTGCTTCCAAACCAAAGTGTTATACACTAGGTCGCTGAGTTATGATGCTTACTTCTTGTGCTAAAAATTATATTAGTTAGAATGCTTTTTCAAGTGATGCTGTAAAGAATGCAGACGGAAACTTGTTAAAATTGAGCGATCACAGTCAGCTGTTTCTTATTTTGTTTCAATGGTTTCGTGTAGCAGCAGTGGGAACAACAGAGAACAGAATGGTTTTTTTCACTATAAAAATGTTGCGTATCAAATACTGCTTACCGGTTTTGATTAAATTGTATGAGGAGGGGAAAATCGTTCAGTTGCACTTGTCGTTGACTAAACTTCTAGTTGATAAATGTTTCTGCATCACGTCGAATAAATCTAGTGGTAAATCGTTTCTGTGCAAAGTTGTAAGCATGTATCCGGATACTGAGGAACAAGTGTTAACTGAAGTGTGTGAAATGATAAACATCAGCCCGTGATAATGCTGTATTCCTCATGTGACCTGGAAACGGCGTCACGACAAGATTTATCTTTCGTGGCATATCGCTGATGCTCATTCAAACTGTATGAGGACTAAGGATTTTTCTTCCAATATTTTCATTAGTTTAACTTGGAAAAGGCAAACTGTTCAACTTTTGGTCGAAGGTGAACTAAAAGCCAAGCTTTCAGATATCTGCCCGAAAATTTCCCTGCTGTTCCACATATAATGTATCAAATGTCACAGTGTATACTAAAGTTATGTTGCCATTTTATTCACTGTTTCATTTAACAGACATTGGCGTTATCTTATATGGCTGGTTCAATTGGTGCATTTTATGGAGCTGAAGCAGCTTTGATCGCTGTTGCGATTACATTTGCTCTATGCCTTTGTATAACACTGTTCGCAATACAAACACGTATTGATTTTACAATGTGCTCCGGTATGCTGTTTGTATTTGGATGCGTTGTTATGCTCACTGGGCTTGCCTGCATGATTGTATATTTCACCTTGGGGCCTAATAAGGTAATTCCTTTCGCAATATCATGAATGTCACCCCTTTATTGATTTAAAAGGAACTTTGTTCTAGAAATAAATGCACCTCATCAAAAGCTAGCGTACTACTAGACTGTTAAGGCTTTTTCTATCATATACTATTAAAATCGTATTTAAAAATAGTTTAATGATTTAGATGTCTTTTTCTACTGCTGCTGGTTTGAAATACGATTGACTGGAACACAGCGTCTATAGATCCTTTAAACTATATTTTGTGTCTATCGGGACCTACTAGACGAGCATATGCATGCAGTCAGGGTGCAGACTTCTAATCCTCCTATGATTATGATTTACCTTCAATAACGTTTTACTAATTGCAGAAGATAACATTGTGATAGTAATGTGTCTGTCTGTAGGACTTAAGAAATATTTATTCTAGTCTGTGGGAAATAATCAGTCTTTCGGAAAATGAAAACTATCCGTGTTGATGAATACTAACAAGCAGAAATCTGTAGTTCATACCCCTCATCTAATTTAAACCAGTCATACACATAACAAGTCTTACCATCATTCAGTCATTTCGCCTAGAAAGCATATTCTTTTATTAAATATAAGAGTCAATGGGTTGGTATATATTAAACTTTCTGAGCCTTAAAGCTGTCATCCCATTTCTTGTTTAAAGCGTATTTTCCGTTCAATTTTACCAAGAGAGTTCAATACTTCGTATGTTTATAGTCATACGTATTGCTCCTTGAGGCAAAGACTTCTGTTATTCAGCTGGTGTAGGAACTTGACCAACCACATTGTTATAGCGGTTTCGATTTCCCCACCCCTTTACTCATGTCTATCAGCAGGCTCAGTCATACGCAGCCAAGACTGAGTAAACACAATAGTAGCAGTTTGACATTAGCTTCTTGGCTTCTTCACATGAGACCTCTGATCTCAGTGGCTATTTTAACTTACTATATGCACTTACCAATCAGGTTTATCATTCTGGTTGTTTATTTTACAAATTCATTAGCACCCATTTTTAATTTGTTTCAAGTGATTAACTGAATTTGTTCATCGGGCTGTGAATAATTTTGTTTCTCTGCATACTGTGTCTAGAAAGGAAGCCAGAACTAAACGGCACTCTAATACAAAACCAAAGTACTAATAACTTACATTCTTAAAATGAATTTCACTTCTAGTTATACGATTCAAAATGCTTACGAAATAAACTGTAACACACTAATTTATGATTTACTAACTGATAACACGTACTCTGTCCATGTTCATATGCCCAATAGGTATAATCATTTGTTTTAGACAACTATTTGTAGCATCCAATACTTAATATTAAAATGTCAAATGCGAAATCCAAAAGTGAACAACTACAAGGTATTATTAAAATGTTCTGTTATTGTGTAAAGTTAAAGTGGTCGCGGAATCTCACCGTTAGTTTTTCAGTGGTTTTAAGTGTTTCTAGTTGCTACATCCGGTTAAAAATGCAGTGGTATTCAACACGTATGTATGAAATCAAATGTTGTGTGTCTTAGTGTTAAATCATTTTCTCACAGTCCTATGATCTGGTAAATTTGTACCAACCTTTTGAGCAACAAAATCAGTGAATAAATACATCCATGTTCATCTTCTTGATGAAAACTAAAATCAAAACAATCAAGGTGGGCCATATGGAACCAAACTTTAATGGCTTACTGCTTATGAGTCAAACTATTTGACTAATTACACCATGGTATACCTTCTCTCTTGACAAAATTTTATCATTTAGGGGAACCAACAAGAAATAGACCCGAAAAAATTTAGCGATAAATAAGATGGCCATCAGCATCACGTAGGATAAAACAACGGGAAACGGAGTTGCAGGTGAGACATTCCCGGTGGTGACCGTTTCACTTAAAGAACTGAAGAAAAGCCTCATAAGTGCTGAAGATTTTCATCCTGTTTGCAAGAATCTGACACTATTTAACCATCAAACAGTTTTAACCTCAAGGCACATTGATAAGATAGACAAGAATAAGTTCCCTTTCTCATGTAAGTGTTAGACAGGGCGTTTGAAAATTTCCTATGGTTTGTCTACTCTGGATGTAATTTGATAAATTTAGCCGGGTTTTTTTGTTTCACAGTTATCTAGTAGGCAGTTATTATTCTCAAGATTTGTGATATCTGCTTAGAGGGAAGACCATGTTGTGTTATCTGACGCAAATCCATTTTCTTATTGAACAAACTTAAATAGTTGAAAGTTAGGTTTCATCTGGGTTGGTTGCGCAGTTTATTCGAACCGGAAATATCTTCAGTTCACTTAGGATAAACTATATTACATCATCCAGTGGTTAAATTCATGCTTTTTCTGGTTCTATTTGTATACAGTTGACAGGCCATAGGTGTCTAGTTGTAAGCTCACCAGACAAACTTCACTGAGAGTTGGTCCAGCCACTGGTTGTGATTGATTTTATTGACTGGTACATGATAGCGTAATCAGCTTTTAACAAACAATATTTTGAATCGACATATTTTCATTCTAGCTTATAGTGGTGGTTACTGTCTATCAGTACGGCCGTCGTCATATTCTCAGGTGATATACGCATGACATTTTGGAATAAGGGTTTGAAAGTTATTACGAGTATCGCAATTCTTTTCACAATGGTTGTACCGTGACCTTATCTTGGCTGTATAAGGGTACGAGTTGTGAGTAGCGAGTGAATTTTTGGCGACTACTATAGTCAGGTGACAGGCAAACTTTTAAAGCACTGTCCAAGCATGCGAGACTTTCTAGAGTTTCAAAACTATGTGAACTGCTCTAATCTCCGACGTCTTTCAGTTTCGAGTAGTTCCAGAAACAGCATAAAAACTCAGAACTGGCTGTAACATGGTATTAGCCTACTATTTAGAATATACAATATCATATGATATGACAACTGTGTACCATTTACTATATGATAGTGGAAAGGGATTGGGATAAGTTGATTATTTTCCAAGAGAGAAGTTAGAGGATTCTTTGAGCAATTTTCATCCTACCATGTGTAGCTTTTTCAATACATCCACCTTTTACTTAAAAAAATGGGCTCTCTTTTCTGATCCTATATTCCAAAAGAAATCTTACGCATATTGAACACAAAATCCTGAATATGTCTACTTCAATACTCTAGACAGCTTTGCACAGAAATCAAAAATGGTTGGGGTTTATTCAAAACCCACTGTTTAGGTGGGATCCATTAACAAATAACGGCGTTAAACCAGTTTTTCTCACTTTTCTGCAGTACTTCAGGGTTTAAGAATCTAGAGTTTGATAGTGAAGGGTTTGAGGCTTGATCAGATCTACAATGAAATTTTTCATTTTCATGAGAAGTCTTTGTAGTTCTTTACAGACATGATATCTTTGTTGCTTTCTTTCCTGCATTTTTCGATTTAAACAGCGAGTATCTGGATCTTATGGTTTAAAAGTTTACAAATAATGAACCTTAAATGTCTCAGTGGTTTAGTTTTGTGTCAGTTTTGCTGTTGATGTTCTCTTTCTTCACACGCTTCAGTTACGAATAAGAAAAACGGTGAACTGCTTTACACTAGGAAAAACTATAGAGGCCACCGTAGGAGCCGCTGAAACAACTAATTAGATCTCTTTATTTTATTAAAAAAACAACTTTTCCCAGGGGAAATAAAGAAATCCAATCATTGCTGGGGTGTACTTTAGAGTCACATATGCTAGCTGTTGAAATCAATACCTACCAACCAAAAATTATACATATATATATATATATATATATATATATATATATATATATTGTGTTTCCATTTGTGTCTCAATTAACAAATAATCCGTGTGAATCAAAACTGGTAATGGAGATGCTTTAAGAACTTTTCTTCTGTTGCATCACTAAGCATGTACCTATATACTGAAACTTATCTGATTAAACTCTCTTCACCACACAAATCAACAAAGCTAAATTCCCTTTGTTCTGCTCAGTATAATGTTTTGCGTAATGAAGTATTTATTGATTAACTAATAGCTTTACCGCCGCTAATCAGTGTCACAAATGAAGTAACTAGTACATTGTCAGTTAGTAAAATTATATTCAATGTAACTATCGGATATTAGACAGGTTCATGCATGTTTTGTTGACTAATTTAGTGATTTATCCAGTATCATAATGGTGTGTCGAATTAGTCACACGTTTTCATCAATAATGAAAGACATTTTATCGATAAACTGCTGTTAATAGAACTGTCTTACAAATTTACAATTTTTAATTTAGGTTTTACAGGGAGTCTATGGCGGCTTAGTTACCCTACTATTCGGATTGGTAAGTTATGTTCTGTTTTTCCTTTTAGTGTTTGTTGCTTGATATTGGCTGATTATTTTAACTTGGTTTAGTTATTTGTTGATGCAAATTCTCAGTGGTTTTTCATCAGCAATCTGGTTGTTCATGATAAATGTCTGTTTCCCGAAGGATGAGATCTACCATTCATTATCACTATGCTGTCGAACATCACTCAACAAGCTTTCATCAACTCAGTTCAACTCATTCGCCTAAGTTATAAGTATAAAAAGTGATTCCTGTTTGACAGGTATACTTCTTCAGGCTAACTGAATGGCTTGACATTTGATTTCAATCGAAAGAAAACTTCAGTTCTGACAAAGTGATCTCTTACTCAACATAAATCTAAAGTTTCTTTATGTAGGAAGTTACAATAGTTCTGTGAAGCAATTGTCTTACTTACTTGATGATGTCCCACCGTTTATTTCTAGCATTCAGCTTATCAGACAGAAAGATTCTCGAAGATTATACCTTTTCATCTAACTTTGCAAGCAAATTACAGTGCATAATTTAAATGTTCAATCAACTATAAATAAACATGAATATTTTTTACGAAACGTTTGTGACCCACATGAATACGAGATAGCGCAATGAAGTGGATGCATGTTAGAGTAGTTAGTGTGCAAGCATCGTTAATTACAAATCTGCTTTCCATCAAAAAGATCAAATTAATTAATCATCAAAGACTATCTTACTCGAAGACCAAGCACATGTGCAAAGTCTGTTCGGAACGTTGACGGACTTTATGTAGATATTTTAAATGTCTGCTGAAATTACTCTGTCTTTGGTGAATATAGTTATAGGACTCCTTGACTTATTATCCATAAAGTGATTGATTTCGAAATACAAAGTCTGAATTCAACTTTTAAAATTATCATTATGCTGTGCAAAGTGCATTAGATGAGACTTCCCACCGCTAAGCATACTCAACCCTTCAGTGATAACATTTGACATATTGGCTATTCCATCAACGAATGGTCTCTTCAAAGACAGTACGCAAACAGTCTCGTTTGGATATCTACAAGTTTGGCCTAGGGTTTCAATAATGGATACAACACTTGAACATTGAGCATGATTACCACCACAATTTGCCAGTAAATTTCCAGTGAGAACTTAAAAAGCATTATTGGATAGTAGGGAAAATCTACAGTTTGAGCAAGGGAAAATTCATTCCCATTAGATTCGTACAACATTATGATTGATTAAGAATGTCTGGTTATCAGTACTGACGTTCATTTTCTGTATGTGGTGCACTTTTTGTCAGTCAGTTGGAGAAACAGTTAAACGGTTCCTGATACGTAATTTTGACAAACATTTAGTGATTTACAAGGGAAACATGACATAACAGGGTAATTTTCATACTTCAGTATGTCAGTCTTCGATGAATAACAACTTGAAATATTTCCAAATCTCCACAACCCCCTCAAAAAAAATTTAATTGAACTGGTGCTCATTGGTGACTAGCTTCGAGAAGTATTCCCGAAGTTCCAATGACAAGTCGTGACCGGTGGAGTCAAAGCCTGATGGCCGTGAGGACAAATACTCAACGATGACATTGGGTGGCGGTTTGCGCTATATCGTGAGCTAACAGAAGTTGGAAATATGGAGCACTGGATTCTGACCCAGTGGCTCAATGGTAACGCGCTGGCCGCGGAACCTGAAGGCCGCGAGTTCGATCCCTGCTGGTGGGGTCGTGGGTGCGCACTGCTGAGGAGTCCCATACTAGGACGAAACAGCTGTCCAGTGCTCCCAGGTTTCCTTTGTTCCTCCAACTGATGTCAGTCTTTGATGAATAACAACTCGAAATACTTCAGTAGATCAGTGCAAACCCTTCGAGTGATTATTAGTCTCAAAAGTTTTAGAATTTTGTTTTAGTAACATATATAATGAAAGCTTTAGGTCTCTTGGTGAAGTTAATTTATTCTAACACTCCACTTTAATTCGGCCATTACAAATATATTGATCAGTAGGTCACATTCACAAATTAATCAGTCAAACAATAGTGTGAACACGTGACCCCAAGTGTCATTTAAAATTAATCCAGGAATTTTATTCTTAGAGTCGTTGTAAACTTTGTGTATTAACAGTCTGATTAAGAACAACTTGCTTCCAATAAAGAACAGGTCAGTCATTGACGGTCAGGGTGGTAAGTGGAATTGTCATCATTTCCAAAGTATACACTGGGAAAACGTCCGACATTTCCTACACCTCCTTATGTTTTTCTAGATAGACCTAGTCTACGTCTCTTACTGACTGATGTAGAATGTAGTTAAATCAATTACACAGAGTCCAGGTATGGAACTAGAACATGCATTTTTAAGGTCCGTTTATCATAGAGGAAAAAAGAAAGTAGACGGTCGTTGAAAACAAACGGTCTTTTCTTTACGACAAACTCATTTATAAAAACTATACATTCATCGACTTACATGAAAAAGGACAGAATATTCTGCAGTTAACTTCCCATAAACACTTCTCGCTGTGCCTACGTTGTCCTACAAATAAGCAAATAATAAGAGTCAAATTCAGTCAGGTGTCAAAAAACCACAATGAACACAAAGGTGGAAGGTACGTTTTTCAGACTGAAATAAACAGTAGTCCTTTGTACTCATGTGTGTGGCTAATTTTTCAGTTACGCCCATATATTCTTCCTTCCCTCTTTTTGAATGAGTTGGTCGAAGTCTGAGCAAAGTTTGAAAGGGTTTTTGCGGAAAAAAGAAACTGAGCACACTGAAATATGAAGCGTTCTTTTACTTGCCTAACTGTCTAGTAAACTTTGATGTTCGGTCTTATCAGGTATACAAGGGGATTTTATGTATTTACTTTCTTAGAAAACCAGAAGAGATATGCAGTGCAAACACTTTAAACAAAAAGTTAGACAACTTTCGAAGAATTTCTAGCACTGCAGTGATAAGTTGCATAATGAGGAGAAAGAGTAGTGATGCGATGAGTGCAAGAGAAAATCGAGTAAACATTGTATCATATTTGAGCAGTGATTAATTATATTTGTATAGAATGAATAGAAACAACGCAGTAATAACGGGCTATGAGCACGCTGATTTTGAGAGTGCAGTTCAAAAGTCTATATTCTGTGATTACTTAGTCATATTCTCCTCAAAGAGTGATTCAGTTGGCTGCCACCACAACTGCTGGAATAACTAATTAGATTTATATGTTTGATGACAGGTTACCTTTACAACAGAAATACAGAAATCCAGTTGTTGTTACGGTGACTTACTGTCTGGTGCAAGTGCACCCTTTCGAAATTCAAAGTTATTACTGGGAGAAGAACTTAAAACTTTCTTTCGAAAGTCGATCTGTAGGAACCTGACAAAGAAAAATCCCTATTTATTCATGGAAAAAAGAAATTTGGTTACAGCTGAGGCTGTCATCTTTAAGGTGATTCAGTTTGAAAGCTGCACATTTTAAAGTAAATAATTCAGTGGGTTGAAACTTTGAGGGAAATTAACGATCAAAGGTCAGTATCAGCTGAACAGTGGAGATACGTCTAGGAAGTGAGAGTGGGAACTTGCATAATATGAGTCAAGTTTTGAAAATCTTCAGGAAAAAGGCGGGCGAATATAAAAAATGGAAACCAAAAATCATAAAGGCCATTCAACAACAGGTTCGTTCTTTCTCTTTCGTTTTTATTCTGGAAAATGGCAAGACAAGTAGAAAGCAGAACTCACGATGCACCAATCTGAAAGCCACTGTTAAAACGTTGCTGTATATGCTTCTTTTGGACGCATATTTGAGGCTTGACTTTGTAGACCACCAGTGTTTCAGCTGCATGCAAGCGTCTTATCCTCACAACTTCTGAACAATGCAGTTAAACTTCGTAAGGGATCGTGAATAACGTTTCAAAAGATGTTTCCAGAATTCATTAAATGTTAGATAATAGAGAGTGAGTTAGTCTCTTTCGTGTTTCAATAGCCGGACTGTGAAGTGTTTGTGGGCGCATGCGGCGACTGTGTGGATAGTATGACCGATGCATTTGGTTTCAAAGGAGCACAAAAAGTGTTGTTACACCGATATGAGACTTAGTTCATCAAAATTTCCTCCACTCACTGGAAAATCGGCTGTAGTAAGTAATGTTTTGCTTAGTATCCAATGAGCTTCTATATAGAATCACCACCGGTATTCGGCATAGACATTTGTCGAAGTTTCTTTTTTCGTTTACTTTCTAAAGTTTTAAAGCATTTTATTCTTGTTATTCTCTTTAGATACATCTTTCCTGTTCTGTTGAATTCGACTTTAGATAGTGAATTCCCCTGAAACCTTCTTTCCTTTGAAATACACATTTATGATTATGTAGCCTTATAAGTCAGTCATCAAAAAAATAACTACCTTCTCTGCAACTGCCTTTTTTTGACCGAATAACAAATGATCTGAGAGTTTTCAAAGTTGCGTTCACTTTTAGAATAAGGGACTGGAAAGGATTTGCCAAGACTTCAACCAAAACAATTATTTTATTGAAGTATTCAGTGAATTTACTCACGTGTTAATGATAAGCTGTTTTCTTAAAAATTAATTTATTTCTGAAAGCCCAGTTATATCAGCCGCTTCAGTCGTGCAGTTTTTCACATAATTCTGGGCGCCAATAGTTTAACATATGAGAGAAGAATGTGAATACCTTAGACTTTCGATGACCGAAACTTTTGTCATTTTTCATTATACATCTGTACTTTAGTTCTCTTTCAAAGGTTTACAACCAAGTGGTTAAAAAACAGCATACATTTGCATCTTTTGCAGGATGAATTCATTAGATATTGTAAGCTTCGATTCTAAACTCTGTTTACAAGCGTGGTATATTCGGTCTACCACTTTTTGTTTTGCTATGTTTATATTCAGAGTTAGCTTCGAATTCGTATAGCTATCACATGTTGCAAAATAGATGAGTTGATTGATCTTCTTGCTTCCTTACTATGATACACTAGGAGATGTTCTCGAACGCGATGAAGAGTAGGTTTAGTCGAGAGACCTACATGTTGAGCTCTCCAGTAGTGAGTGGGTTGATAAACATACGTTGAACTGGTCAGTCATGACAACTTATCCTTCACATTGAGGGATGTTAGAGGGTGACTGTGATATGTTATTCTAAGGTTTGCTGCATGAAACATTTTACGAATCGATCTTTCCAAACGGTTTTTCATAATATCATCAGCAGTGTCCCTTTTAAATTCTAAATTCAGGTAAAATATCTTCTTCGAAACAGTGCATATGATTGCTAAAGTGTTCATATGTTTCACACTTTCTCAATGAAACTTAGTGGGTATCCATTTCTCAACAAGATGGGTTTCAAGGAACTTATTCCGTCTTCTATGTTGCCGGCCAAACAAATTTTATAGTATCGTGAAAATAGACAGCGAATAAATTTACGTTTTGCGGTTAGTGGAACTCAACTATAGAAATCTGTCAACTGTCCATTCCATTTTGGTTTGCTGTATATGTGTACCATCGTCTCTTTTCGTCAGTAGAATATCTAGGAATGAGATTTTAGAATATATATTTCCCTTCATACTGTAAGCTTTTGTAATAGATGACAGCGATTAAAGCACTTCAGAATTTCTTGTATATGGGGTGTATTGTCACATAATGAAGATATTATCAGCATATATCCTTTGTATAACGTCAGTTGGCTGCTCGCTGGCTTGAGACTACTATTCCCGATGCTGGGCATGAAAAAATTGGCTAATAATGATTTCAAAGATGATCCTATGTCTATGACTTCTTTTTGTTGGTATATCCCTTCATTAAAGCTAAACTGTATATTCAAAGTACACCTTAAGATCGATTCTTTCAGACAAGCTGTAGGTAACCCAGTATTTACATTCTTTGTATCTCCAGAGTAGCATATAAAGCATACAGTTTATGTGAGTGGTACATTAAGGAGTAAGGAATTAACATCCAAAGTCATAAAGGAAACACTTGAATGTTATCTTATCAGTCACGTTTCTAAAATTTGGTGTTATCCGATAACATATCCTTTGTTTTATGTATATAGCTCTGTCAACTGAATAGCTCCAAACCTTCTCCCTTATCATTGCAAGTTATTGAAATGTTCTTATTCTTTTAAAGGAGTTGTCTCAAGTGGTTTTTAAGGATGTGAAGCTGGCTGTTCCGTTTCATTTACATGAACTAGCAGGCTCTATCATGTATTGTTTATATAAAATGATTTAGTTCATTTGGAGTAGCTGGTAACAGATCAGTTGTCTGGCTGATATGAAAAACGCTTTATTTACAATTCTTTATTATCAGTTATATCATACGAACTTAGTTTAAACCTGGCTTATTGGAATCCTGTTATTAACTGCCATCATTCTGTCTTAAATTGATGAACAACAAAGGTTTCACAACTACCTTCCATTTTTTACCGTTTATTTCCGTATATTTGTAAAGTTTTACCCTGCCAACAAAACCATGTATCAATAATTTACACACAGATCAATTATCATCATACCTTATTAAAAGCAAACCCATCAGCAATGATAAAAAAATTTAAAGATCCGTATCACAGTACAGCCTTTGATAGTTACATCGTTGAAAAGTATTTCCTGCGTTGAACTATTTGCTCTGCTTCTCTTATCAGTTGAATTTTGATTAAGTAATCTACACTAAACCATGTTCTTGCATTGAAGTAGTTACAAATACAAATTTACAGCTCTAGAATACTACTTATTGTAGAAGAAAGCTTTCTAGCTGGGTTTTCTAGTTTTTTCATAACCTACTGCCGTGGGATGTATACTATCGGATGGTTATTAACCCAATAAAAAGTTGGTGATCATAAGTTTTACTATTTCGAAGACTGTGGCGTAGGTGCCTAATCGCAACTAGTTTTTAGTGAAAATTCCATGGTAATTTGATGACCCTTATTTAGATAATACGACTGAACTTCCTACATAGACATAACAAAAATTTCTCTATTACAACAACAAATCTAATCATTACACCTATCAGATAGATAGTATGTTACTGGTTTGTTTAGAAACTTGATTAGTGCTTGTAATTTTACGTCTGTATAGCAGGCCGAATCGTTTGACCTTTGTTGGCAAATGGGCTCTCAAGAAGATGCCTCGATACTGCAGAATATTCATGATGTCTTCATATTGGTGACTAGCAGTAAAAACCAGGATGTGCTTTTCGTCATAGTTTGGAGTCATCAGCTGCGTGTAACTGCATTCCAGCTATTAATGTTGCTGCCACTGAGAACTAAACCCAGTGGCCTAGTGGGTAACGTATCGGCGTTTGAAGCTATCGGTATTGGGTTCGAGTCTCGGTGGAAACAGCACCACTCAGTGGGGTGCAGGGACGTCCTGCTGACGATTCCCAAATAAGACGAATCATACCTCTTGGATTCCAGTGCTAGTCAACAAAGTAAATGTAGTTGTTCACCTCCGCATCTATGGTATCAACAGTGTTTCCGTTGGAAATCACCCAGTCGAGATCACAGGGTGTGGCGTCTAACACAAAAGTATGATGAACTATTAAAATAAATATTACGAAAACAGATGAGTAATGAGGATTCACTCTAACTGGTCTGTAGATTTTGCTGGCTGAATTCAGTTGGTTAGAAATATTCGATTGTAGTAGTTGATTTTTTCTGCATACACTGATGTGGACCTCAACCATGAACGAGCGAAAAGGGTGATTCGAGGTTTAGAAGACTCGGATATGGCTAACAAAAACTACAGATGAGCCTGAGTAGTTTATGAAGACTATTATTATTACTATTCATTAATATATTTGAAATATTATTAGTGATAGAACTAGCCCCTTTATTGATTTATTCGAGACTAATTATTCCTTCCGTTATCACAAATTCATAAATTTAGTTCAAAGGGAAGAATGGACTTAATGGAATACGCTAATAAGAACAATAGGTTTCTACTATAAATAAATTACGTAGCTATGACAAGCTGCAACAGCAACAACCGTGTAATTAAGGGGTGTTAGCTTTGATGAACTGAACCGAGACAGATAATTAAATCCCTTCTAATTTTCAGAAAACATCATCAGTTGACGAATTTGAGATTTATGGTCTTTTCAAACCTGTATACCTAGAAAATTACATTTTATTTGACATAAATAACGTGTACTTAAAATATATGAGCATCTAACAATTTCGAATAAGTTTCTTTTTTTTACAATGTTCAATAACGTTTACAGTATTTAGCCTACGATACTCAACAAATAATGGGTGGAAGACAATATGAACTTGAACCAGAAGAATATATATTCGGTGCTATGCAACTTTATGTGGATATTGTCTTTATGTTTATGGCTATAGCAGGCATAGCGAATGCAGCCTCATAAATTTAATTAAATACATAAATGTCAACCAAATATTAATTAACGTAATAAAAAGAAAAGTTAAAATGATTATTAATATAAGATTGAGTTTTATTGATTTTTTCTTTTTCATATTTCAAACTAAAATTAATAATAAACCATTATTAATGTATGAATGATGATACATTATTGATTTAAAAAATTATCACAACAAAAAGAATACACAAAGAAAATATGTAAAAATGATGGTATTTGTGTTTTCGTAAAATTTTGAGAAATTCCATATCATTTGTTTTGTTTTAATGTGTCAGTAACATTTAGAATGGATGTGTCTAAATAATTTGTATTACAATTTTTATTACCAGACGATAATCCAACTAAGATATATTTATATTCATATCTTGAGTTTCATTGTTAAACAAGGCGAAATAAATACAAGTGTTATAAATCAATCAATCTGAGGTCCTTGAATTAGTTTTCTAGAGTACTGGGAATTGTCATTAAGTCATATCCGTTATCATGAGGGAGATAAACTTCCTTTCAAAACTAAAGTATATGTTACTCAGTGCTAAGGCAACGAACTTTACAACTTAATTGCTAAAGTCACGGCTGACCACACTGCAAACATGACTGATAGACTTCGATCATTTCTGAGTACTTAAGAATTTGATAGCTACTTTGGCTACCATCAGGAGGTAGAGTTACATAAGCATCTACTCTTACTCTTGAAGTGAAGACAGGAGTAAGACAAGGTTGTCACCCACGATCTTCTTGATTGTGGTGAACTGGATTATGCAACAAACACTGAAGAGCTTTGAGAAGAAGGGGATACGATGGACTGCGGAAAAGATCCTAGAAGACTTGGATTTCGCCGATGACTTGTGTTTAATGTCACACAAACTTGAAGATCTACAGGTGAAAACTAACAAGTTGACAGAAGAGGTGAGGCAGCGAAGACGGGACTTCCTTCAGGTGAACGTAGAGAAGACAGGGGTGATGAAGATACCCAACCAACAACAGCATGAACAACAAGCACCAATCACCATCAACGGGAGAAACTTAAAGGAAGTAGCCTCTTTCACTTGCACCTACCTAGGCAGCATCGTTTCGACTACAGGTGGCGGCACAGACGAGGACGTCAAAGGCAGCTAGGATCAGAAAAGCAAGACAAGCGTTCATTAGCCTGAAACCAGTCTGGAGATCTTCTGCATTGCACTCAGCATGTGGAACACGATCCGGATTTTCAACACCAACGTCAAGTCAGTGCTTCTGTATGTTTCAGAGACTTGTCGCGTTACGAAAGACATTTCCAACAATTTACAGACATTCATCAACAACTGCCCACGCTAGCTCGTTACTGAAGATCAGATGGCAAGAATAATAAGAGTAAGCAACAAGGAACTCTGGGAAGGAACCAGCCAAGAAGCTATCACTCAACAAATATGCAGAAGGAAGTGGAGATGTATTGGGCCTGAACTGAGAAGACCATTCGCGGACATCACGCGCCAGGCCAGGCATTCGAGTGGAACCCAGATGGGAAATGGCGAGTTGGTCGTCTGAGCGAGGGTGACATGGAGGCGATTGTGTGCTGGAGAAGTGAGAGCTTGTGGACAGTCGTGGAGTCAAGTTCAAAAGATTGCAGAGAAGAGAGTGGAATGGCGATGTGTTACTGAAGCCGTATGTTCCACTAGGAACCCAAGGGACAAATAATAATAAAAAATCTAAGTATTTACTACTTATTTGAAATGCTTCAGTAGTATGTCTTCAATTTATTTTAAATCGTGAGACAAAAGAGCAAACTTTTTTGTAGTAAGATGTTTTGGTGAAGTTTAGGCACTGAAAGATTCTGATAATACTAGTTAAATACAATCTGAACAAGGATTATTGTTATAAATTGTCATTAGCTTTTACAGTTGAAAATAGATTTGTACAGCTTATAAGCACGCCGATTTTGAAACAAATGCATTTTCAAATGCAACTTAAGGACGGTAAAGAAATCGCTTTTTGCTTCAAATTTGTCAGTTTAACGATATAACTATCGGTGAGAAATGTGATGGTAAAAGAAGAGGAAGTGAATAAGGAAGATGTGAGTAGCCATTAGTTTATTGAAGGCTAAGGGAGGAAAAACTTTTGGACACGTTGTTTCGAAATGCAAAGTTCAGGTTTGATCAGTCTTTTTACTGCAGCCTCAGCTATGTTGCATAGGTGTCGGTCAGCTGTATGCGTTAATGTTTTCATATACTATCAATACTAGTCTACCAAACCATGCCCATCTCACTCAGATAGTCAAAATGACACAGATATTTCTCCCTATAGACTGATGAAAAAACCGGTGTTAGGATGAAATTTACTATGTGATTTATTCAGGTAATCGCATGTTAAATATTTTGCAGTATTCATGAACATGATAATTGGAAACATCAACGTTTATTAAACGACAACAGTAGTGATGTGAAACAAATTACTTCACAGGTGTAACCGCTAAGACCAGGCTGACATCTGCTACATTTATGTAGTTGTCGGGCTTGCATGTCATAATGACCCATGACGTATCCTGGCTACAACAACTGTTCGTTCAGGTCGTGATAAACCAAATGGGTCTAATGAAAAGTGGTCAGACAAATGAGCTACCAGTATATCGCCAATAGCTGCTCTATGATGAGATATGAGAACAAAAGTGTATTGTTAGACATACAGTGTGAAAGCAGTAAGGTGTTTACCATGTCTCACTAGTAATATTATGTTGGTACGGTCTCCCTTATAGAAATCAGGGTTTGAAGATCGGGTTCCTAGAACAATGCACTTCCCTCTATCTTAAAGCGTTGCCCTGCCAGCGGTGGAGGTTTTATAGCTGAACTCAGTTTATTCAAATTTAAAGCCTTAGTTTACAAAAAGGTTGTGTATGATCACCTTCAAGTAGATATCTTATCAGTTCTGTGGTCATGTATCATTACTACTAATTCAACTTCATTTTCGGGTACCACAGGAATGAAGGCAAAGCCAACGTAGAACGTCGCATGGAAGTGCATCTACTCAAGTTGAAACACTTTGCAGTAGCATCTTAAGGATAAGTGGGTAGAAAAAGAGTTGTATTAAATTAGACAATGATGCATGGTCGGAAAAAGAATTAGAAAAACAGAGTTAGAGAAAATGTTCGCGTTTTCAAAGATGTCAGTGAGGGAACACTTAAGCTATTGTGATCAATTTTCAGCAATGTCACCAATAGACCTTTTGTATCCAAGCTGAGATTTCGTCAGGAACCAACCCATTCAGGCCTATGCGACTCCTCAATTAAGTGAACTGGTTGAGATATTGCATCACTCCACTCCTTGTCCTCAGGTTAAGAGTACGTGAAGACCAGTTCTGGAGCATCATCTTATATCTGACACGTGCCAGATACGTTCCGAATGTACTCATTTCCGCTCACTGTGTTCAGAAAACCCTGCGTTTTGTCAGCGTTTTCACCCGAAATGAAAATGTTTTTTGTATACTCCAAATCAACCAGATGACCTCCAGCAATTAGCTCATTCCCTATGAAGTCGGATGTACTTAATGTTATATCCGTTACTATATTTGTAACGAAGCTGAATATGAATGAAGACAATGTGCATCTCTGTCAGGGACCACTAACTGTCATCAATTCAGCTGAAAACTCTCCATATGGCCTTATACAGCTGCGTGAGTTCCAGTAGATAGCTTTGACTAGTTCTTTATACTTCATCGATACTCACTTCACATTTTAATACGGCCACAACCATCTGGGGTTGAGAGAGTCGGATACCGCCTACTGGTCAAGAAATATGGAAAGTGTTGGCTCCCGATAAGTGTGTTTATTCCAGAACCTATTGAAGGGTGAAAATCTGATTGATACATCCTCACTGACTTTTAAAATCCGACTGGTTCTTTGCAGTTTGATATTCTCTGGATCCAATTAGGTGTTGGATAACTATAAATCCAGGGGTCTTGGACGCGACATTATTCGAATTGATTGACCTATGGTTGTCACAAGAAAACATCTGTCTTTTTTATAGACTTGAATGACCATTAAAGTAGATCGTTCTGATGTGAAAACCTCTGAATCCCACACACTAACTAGTACTTCCATCAGTTTAAGCATTAATTTCCTACCTCCATTCTTGAAAACTTTAGGGGGCAAAACTTCAAATTCTGCTGCTTTGCATTATTTCAGGTTCGAAACCGTCTCTTCAGCTTCGAGGAGAGTTGGAGGACTAATATTCACATCCTATCAGGTTTGGGCAGAATTTCACGTAAATGAAGAATGACTGTAGGCCAGTTCAACTGTTTTTCAGGGTCATACTCAAAAACTTTATCAGGGACTTATTTTTGTCGTCAATGGTTTCACTGGCATCATCTTCTTGATAGTTTCCTTCGTAAGCAGAGATAATTTCCAGATATTACCTAACCCTGATATTTCCTCCATCTCTCTCGCATTATTCATCCACCACTACTCACGATTATTGCAGAGACTCTTATTCAATTTCTTTTTGAGGTACCTTCGCTCCTCACTGAGTTCAACGGCAGCTGTACTCCCGCCTGCTTCAGTCTTGATGAAGTTGCAGAAATCCAACTGCTTTTTCTAGCCTTTGGGTGTTGTTCACCAACTGTCTTTACCCATAATTTCACAGCAAAGTGAATATGATAACAGGCTTCGTCAGTAGGGGAATTTTATTTACGTTGAGATAAGTGTTTAACTACCTCCTCATTAAATAAGTACTTGATTTTCCGTGGTGTGGGCAGTTGGGAATTGTCAACTATATTGACAACTCGATCAGCACTCAAATTTGCTCTGGTAGTTACTAACACTCAAAACCACTGCCTCCTAATCTTTCTTCGGATCCCCCTGTTGCCAGCTTTACACCATCTATGATTTCTTTCATTTCTACAGCTCTTTAAAACTGTTCTAGTTTACGGAACAGCTTCTTCAGTCTTCTAAATCAAGCGTTAGATATCCACAACCTCCATCAAACAGATTAACAAGCTTTGCTTGGGAACACTAGCATCTT